CGCCCCCCCCGCCCCGCGCGCGCCGCTGGCGGGGCTCCTGGCACTCGCTGACCCTGACGCACATTCACCTTTGTTACCAGAAAAGGTACTGTTTAGCTGGTATTACTAAACTTGTAACTAGTTTTAGACTAAGTGGGAATTTTTAATGAAAAATCGCGATTATACTGGGACACAAAAAGGTATTAAATATGAGCTCAATTCTGTTTATCAGTCAAATGTTTTTTAATCGGCGATGGCTAAATCTTTAATTATTATTTTTGTGGTCATTACTAACGGCCCCAGTATTCTTCGAAACTAGTCGAGCATTCTCAAAAAACGTGACACTTGAATATTAATTAAACTTGAACTGCATAAATATGTTATTTTCAACTTGTTCATGTATTCCAGCCGCTCCTACAAGACGAGTCTCCGAGTCCCCGCAGTAGTCGGTCCCGCGAGGACCTGTCGTACATCCCGGTGACCTGGCAGGAATACTTCTCAGACCTGGAGCTCGATAGAGACATCGGCAGGCCGAGGGAAGTTGCTACTAAGGTGCAGAAGTTCAAAGCTACGCTGTGGCTCTGTGAGGATTACCCTTTAGAGGTCAGTAGCTGTTTATCTGTAATAACTACGTTTACATAAAATCTATCATTTTGGTGTGGAAAATCCAAATAATGCCCTTATTTATCATCTTCTTTCTCATGGGTCTTTGAGTCTCTATACTAATAAGCTTCCATTTGTTGTATGGATCTAGCGAAAAGGATTATCAGTCTCGTACTGATGGAACTCCAGTAGTGGTAGGAAACTAGGAAAATATAAAGTCATAAACATGTTTTAAACTGTCAAACACCAAGCGGTCACCGGTGACCGCAACCTATTGTTCTGTAATTGTGTCTATAATGACGGTACTCGACGAGTTAAATGCTAAAAATGAACGACACATTTCAGTTACAAGAACAAATAATGCCGATCCTCGACCTAATGGCCGCGATATCGTCACCACACTTCGCCAAGCTAAAAGATTTCGTCCAAATGCAGTTACCAGCCGGATTCCCTGTCAAAATTGGTAAGTTTTATAAATCCATGTTTTATTTACTGTGAAAAGTTTTAATAGGCAATATGGAACTTATAATAAAAGTGGGTCCTATATTAAAAATGGTCTTAGAGGAATAAAACTCGTACTATGAACCTCTATTTGAGCTTATTGGCAGTTGTTTAAGTCTGTTACCGTCCAACATACGCCTACTAAAGGGCATTGATTAAAATTGGTGCCTTTCTTTTTTCTGGCGGCAGTCGATGATTTATGGAAAATATTATCTAGAATGACATTACAAACGAAATTGTCTATGGGCTTATATATGGAAATCTCAGTCTGGACTGAGTTATGAGCGTTGAAAGGAGCTGGAATCAAACATTTTACTTCGGTTTTTTATTCAAATTATTCATAGTTTTGTCACAATTTCTAACTTCAAATTGCGCGCCACTGTACTCCGGGCACAGGACAACCATATCACACCACAATATATTCATATTGCCAGGCACTAATTTTTATTACCTATTTTCTCTCAGTCGATAACTTGTGGGATTCTTCAAGGAGTTGTGTCATGAAGCTTCATGAGCGTCAGCTGTGGTACCAGTGGTGGGTTGAGTAGTGGTAGCCGTCCAAACATCTAATAAAGTATATTTTTTTTTGCCATTGACTCCTGGTGGGACTCTCATCTACTTAATAGTTAGCATAATCTTTTGAAGAAAGAAAACCGTCGACTTTTAAAGTTATCAGCGCTATTCAATCCGCTACCGACGCCGAAGCTGACAAACATAGCATTTCATGATAGGGCTCAGTAAAGTATTTTGCGGGTTTTTGACTGAGAGGAAATTGATCATGAAGATCTGTCATAGGCCATAAACCATATACATATAAATTGAACACGCTAGCCAATCAAGCGAAATGTTTTTTTTTCTTCAGCAGTGGTCAGTTAAGGCATTGGCTGCCAATAAAAAACTGTTGAAGGCAAATCCTCCGCTAATGTCGGTCACCGGTGACTGCCATGGCGTTTAACGTGTTAAGTAATGGTTCACTCTGACCTGATTCAGTGGCCTTATAACAAAAAAAAAAGAATACAAAAAAAAAATAAGTAAAAAAGTCCACGATAAGCTTTATTATATTCCTTGAAATCGTTTATAAACATTTATTACAAAATATTTCTGACAAGTAAATGAAGAAATATGCGTTGTGTACGGTTACCATTAACAAAATCACAGGAATAAATATACCACTATTTTCACATCTTTGAACTGATTTAACTCGGTTTGGACTGTGTTTTTGATATAAGGCCCCATATATTTTTTTGTTTGTAATGTTATTCTGCATCAGTTTTTCCACATTCGATCAACTGCCGCGAAAAAATGAAAAGGCACCACGCTCCATACAAATTTGGTCATTGTCATTTTATAAAACATTAATTTAAATTATCATTTGTATCATACTTCTACTCTCACTTCCAGAAATACCTCTCTTCCATGTGCTGAACGCGCGCATAACATTCGGCAACATATTCGCTACGGAGACTCCCGTCCCTTTCATAGAGTGTATACAAGAAGGAGACAGACTGTCGTGTCTAGTGGACGACCAGTGCTTCTCCATCGGTCGCGGGTACAGAGACTCCGCCGCGCCCGACGAGAGACTCGCCTGCGGAGTCGACGACGAGGAGGGCTTGCTGCAGTATGCTATACAACAGAGCTTGATGGAGACTGGGACGCAGGACGATCAGGTCAGTTTTCATCTTGTTTCTGCGTAAGTAAGAGTTAGATAGAAAATGTCAAACTCATTTATAATATTGAATGTTCTTGACTTTTGATAATTCTCAATAGTCATTATTACTCGGTAGTGTATAGCAATAAACTATATACTATAACTATAACTATATAAATATGGTGACAAATAAAAGAACTGGCATGAAGCGAGTTATTTTATTAGTAAGAACATTTAATATTTTCATCTTCGGCGGAGCAAAAATGTTGTGGTATTTATGTCAAGAACTATGTTTAGAGTTATAAACATTAATTCGGAGATTCCCCCTAATTATATCCAGGTGGACGTATGGGAGGCGCTGCGCGGCGCGCGGCCCGCGTCGCCCGCTATGGCCGCGCCGGCCGCGCCGCGCATGCGCACGCACGACACGCATCTACTCGCGCACGAGGAGCGCCAGCTACAGAGGTATGTCTATTGCCTTCATACTATATACTTGAAATTTGTTATCCCTGTGTTACAATGACAAAAAGTCCACCATGTAACTCAATGTGGACATAGAAATTAAAATCGAATGTGCAGCGAATCTCTATTATTTGGACTTGTTAAATAAAATAATAAATATTTCCAGGCGTTGGCGTTTTCAGTGGTAGAATTATAGAAGTGTGTGTTTTATACATTGGCAACTTTGTGATTGCTATATTGCACATTTTTTTCTAATACATATTTTATTTGCACATAGAATAGTAAATGTAATGGTTTAAGCCACCGACTGCCCCAACTGGTCAGAAAATAATGATATATACTTATATTTTTAACTACATAATTGTATTATAAAAATATTTTTACACTATTTATACTTACTAAATTATTGTAATCATAATTATAGATATTATACGAGTGTTTCATCTCTTTTTACTTCGTATTATATTGACGTAACCATGCAGTATTTTGGAAAAAGTTGTATTGCCAAAATGCTAAATATTTACTCACTTGAAACTTAGGCAAGCTTATAAAGCTGTAGCTTTTATTAGTGAAGCGAGTAAACTTTAGTAATAGACTGACTATCGAGCTATATAAGAGTACCAGATTTATGTAAAGGATCAACTGCGCCTGAGAGCTATTTGTTGATTAAACTATCCTTCCTGATAAATATAACACTTAAAAAAGCATTAGTACCCAAATTAGTTAACCACATTTTGGATTTTTAAGCTCAGCAACACACAATATTTATTATTTACTTTATAGTAAATCAACAGCTACATTCAATATTTTAGCAGAAAAATAGTTTGAACCACTTACAGATTCACATGAATGGTGACTAAATAGGTAATAGCTATGACATATAAACCTTTACTTATACAAAAGCACCACAGTAGCCCGGCTAGACAGCTAACTAGCTAGTATTTCACAGAGCGATAGAAGCGTCCCTAGCATCGGTGTCATTGACCCCGAGCTCTCCCGAAGCCCCCATAGTAGAAGATGAACTGGACCTCGACACCGACGGCGACGCGGAACTTGCAGCCGCTTTAGCGCTGTCTGCGAGAGAACAAGCTTCCAGAGATATGCAGCTTGCAGCGGAACAGAGGGCCTTCGATGAAGCGCTGCGATTGTCGCTGCTTGATAAGTAATTGTTTAGGTAAGTTTGTATGTATGGAGTTTTTCTGGAACTTGTGTAGATAAAGGGTGTCCTTGTAATATAATCATGATGCACATAAATGATGACAATAGTGTCCGACCGAAACTGGTTTTCCGGCCGAAACCGAAACCGAATGTTCGGCTGTGGCTTCAGTTTCGGCCGAAACCGAAACCGAAACCGAAACTTACGTAGTCATGTGTAAAATATCTTAAGATACTGAAATTTGGTGCATTTTACCTATTATTTACCTATTAATTAGGGCATGAAATGGAAACACAGTGTATTATGTTTGTTGTAACCATTTATTTAATATAATTATTAAAAAAAAATATTAATAACATTTTTATTATTTTTTCAAATTAAGTTCTCATAGCATAATGTTTATCAGTTAACACTAATCAAATCAGTAATTGTTACTGTTTCATTAAATACTAAGTACTGGTATTTTATTATATCTCTATTCTCTGTACTGAATACTTATGTAATTTCCCACAACTTTATGCATTTTCAGAGATTCCCTTTAATGCCTTTATAGATAATATCTAATTGTCAATTAGTAATTATACGATTAAGTTAAAAAGTTTTTTTTTCTTGTATGGCCTGAGTAAAACGTTTTATACAGGTTGGCGGTGACATTTTATTTTTCAAATAATGACAATCGTACAGTGCCGCGGGAAACAGAGTTATGCGAGCGTGAACGTGTGTGAACTTGCGACATAAGTTTCGGTTTCGGCAAAAGTTTCGGCCGATTTTGGCCGAAACCGAAACTGCCGCCGAAACTTGATTTTTGGCCGAAACTCGGCCGAAACCGAAACCGAAATTTCAGTCGGACACTAGATGACAATAAAAATATAACATAACATAACATCACGCCTTTTATCCCCGAAGGGGTAGGCAGAGGTGCACATTATATCACTGTGCAATGTATCACCCACATTTCACTATTTATGTTATGAGTCCCATGTATTAGGGGGTCTGCCTATTGCCATATACCGGGCGAATTCCAGACTCGCCTACTACTGAGAATATTTAAATACCCAGTAATACTTTGCCCGACCAGGGAAACAGACCCGAGACCCCTTGCCCGGCAGTCGCACTTACAACCACTCGGCCAACGAGGCAGTCAATAAAAATATACTTTTAACTTTCATGCCAGATCTGTTTGGTACACCTGAAAAAGACCTTTGCTTCCAAGTCCAGTGTTATTGATGGGAACTTCGCCATTCAACAAAACTAGTATTAAACTAGCTGCCCCGCAAACTTTATACCGCCTAAAATTCTTTTCTTACCTTTTAAACCATCTCTGGACTTGCAAGAACAAAAATAGCCAGTTTTAGCGAGAGTAACGGACGGAAATTCAGTTTTATTTATATAGATTATTACTATCTATTTATTAATCGAACCTGTGCCTTTAGCCAAACGCCACTTTAGCGCTTGTCTACAGAGAGAGTAGAAAACTAAATGTATGGGAATGATACTGACAAGTGTCAAAAATTACGTCAATCCCATATAATTTAATTTTCTATTCTACAAGTAGACAAGCGCTAAATCGCATTTGGATACAGCTGCTGAAACCTTAAGTTCAAATTTCAACCAATGTATTTGGCTTTCAAGTAAACTTCTTTATCTCATAGATGTTTTTTAAAGTATAAATAGTTTTTGTTAACTAATCAAATGTAATTTATTTCAGATCTCAATTCAACAACAGTATGTATGAAGCGTCCAACCAAAATAAGACTTACGCCTAACGTACTTGTAGTAAGTAGATACAATTTATACTTCACAGTCGAGTCTTTGTGTCAATTCCAAATTGTTTCTAAAGTACACACGATAATAACCTTTATTATAAAGAGTATAGAACTCAATATACATCGTTTTTTTAAAGGTAATAAAAGAGCTTTTTGTTTGAAAGAGCAATTTGGATTTACACGAACTTTGACTCATTAGATTTTTGACTGTAGAATATTTATTCGTCGTTATGTAATTATTATAATTATAATAATTAATATTGTACATTTATTATGTTGTGTATGTATACAAAATACACTAAGTACGGTCACAAGCTAAGTATAGTCGACAAAGTTGATTGGTGACTACTGTGTATCGATGAAGTTATTTAATTGTGTGTGGTTGTATCTTGTATGAGTAATGAGTTTGGATATTATACACTAGCTACTTCCGCGTGGTTTCACACGCTCTGCTCAGCTCCTATTGGTCGTAGCGTGATGTTTTATAGCCTATAGCCATCCTCGATAAATGCACTATCCAACACAAAAAGAATTATTCAAATCAGACTTGTAGTTACGGAGATTAGCGCGTTCAAACAAACAAACAAAAAAACAAACTCTTCCGCTTTATATAATAAGTATAATATTATATTATTATATACACATCTGTACATGATACTTGTTTTTTAGCGTGAAATAAATTTTCTTTGTTTCTTTTTTCGTTTATATGAAGATATAAGAAGAATTATCGATACGATAGTGCATAAAATGCTATCCCATTATTTTTTGTTGGTATTTCTTCTTAGTCGTTCTCTTCATTACTGAAGGTCGTGTCTAGTCTAGTGCACGCGTCACTTTATGCACAACCCTTCTCCAAACGCCCCTGTCCTCTGCGGTCTTGGTGGCTTGAGGAACTGTCAGGCCGGTTAGGTTTTTTACAGCATCTAACCACCGGGTAGGTGAGTAATCACAAGGTCATTTCCCGTTAACCTGACCAATAACCACAAGCTTCTCCAGATTGTTGGAGTCTCTACGCGCGCTGGTGGATATAAGCTATGAATATTTTGAAGTTTATGATGATTTAAGCGATTGATTCCAGTTTATATAAATAGTAGATACTCAATCGTCGCGGCCGCCTAAATCTTTCTATAGGACTAAAGACTCCTGTGCCTTTAGCCAAACGCCGCTTTAGCGCTTGTCTACAGAGAGAGTAGAAATCAAAATGTATGGGGATGACACTGACAAGTGTCAAATTTACATCAATCCCATATAATTTAGTTTTCTACTCTACATGTAGACAAGCGCTAAATGGCATTTGGCTAAAGGCACTGGTATTCATGTCATGCATTGTAATATTGGTTCGATTAATCTAATCTAACTTAGTCACCAACCACTTTGTCGATTGTACATTTGTATTTGGTATCGCTATACGAGTGAGATTTAATTGTAAATTTAATAAAAAAGTTGATGAAAACAAAGGAATTGTTCACACAGTTACATAATATTTAATGAGCGTTGTATTAATGTGTCCGTAATTGTAAAAAGTCGTCCATTTATTTTAGTTTTTTTTTTATTCATGCCAATATGGTTCTGTTCGTTTAAACAGAGGAGAGTTCATATGTAGTTGTTGAAAATGGATAATACAGGCTTAGGACGAATTTCTCTTACGTTTAACGACATCTAAACGTTACGGCGTTGCCCTCTGGTTCAGAGGCCAATCAGAGACCTTTGTACAATTTTGTTTTACGGTAGAAGTAATCGGAACGAGACCGCGTTCAGCACTCAGGGTGCTTACTCTTGAAACCAATCTCAATGTCAATGCAATTTCAATCTAAGAAAATCTCAATAATTATTCAATGTCAACACTATACATCCCCAATCGTAGCTGTTAAAATAGCATTTAGAGTACGAATTAAAGCTAAACTCAATACCATTTAGTTCATTCTATATGTACGCAATACGGATGTAATGGGCGCTAGTGTTACAACTCAAGAGTACAAAATTTGACAATACCAATGTCGATTGGATGGAAATGGATTCAAGAGTAAACCCCCTGATTGGTTGGTTCATTAGAGCCGGCCAATCAGAGAGCCGAATGAGGTCTTGTTTCAAAACAAACTTTGTACTAAGACGTTTTGATCTCACTAAACGAGCTTCTAAATCCTCGAGAGGACATCGGTGTCCTTTCTTCACTCTGCTATAGATCTTATTTCCGATGTGTAGAGACTACTTTTGTATGAACAAATTTCGTGGATTTAGAGGTAAAATAACCCGTAAGAAGCCTTCTGTTTACATCACATTAACACTGTTTTACTAATGTCGATTAAATTAATAAGGTTCTGTTTTAAAACAAATTGCAAAATAATTACTTATACTAAGAGAAGCCTACAAGAGGAAGGGCTTCATATGATGTCTTTCCCACAGACACTTCTTTCGCCAAATATACGTAATGCACGTTTTCCTTATCGATCTCAAATAAGATCCCTATTTCTCAAAATGTTTACCGGATTTTATTTTTTAAATTATTTATTTATTTCATTGGATTTCGCACTTGACTAGTTTAATGCTATAGTGTTTCTATTGGTCATAATATTACATTTATTCTGTAATTTATTTAATCTTTATTTAATTCCAATCCAATGAATCATTAGTTCGATGTAGTATTTATTTAGTAAATTGTAATAATTTCATCTATAAAAATAAAGCTAATGGTTTACAGGGAGACCTTGAAACAACAATATTTTACAGAATACGAAATGCGTCGTAATTACAAAATAACGTTCTATACAAACTGATGTCACAATATAAAAAGATTTTAAACAAAACTTACGTTTTACATTCAACTACAAAAAGAATATGGTTTTTGTGGTCGCTCGATGGCGCTAGTGAAACGTAAAGTCCAAATTAAATCTAAATGTCCTTTTGCGACACTAGCGCCACTCATCAATAAAAATCTTAGTTAAAATGTATTCGTATTGTTCTCAATTATTATATTACATTAAATTAGTACTATTATTAATAATACGTTAGTCTTGACTTGGCAACACTTTGCCTAGGATTAGTGTCCAGTGCAATAATTACGTTATACCTAAAGTATGTTTATATTTTTAAAACTATATTGATTCCTATCTACGTCCTTGGTGTTGATGAAATTTAACCCTTAATGTGGATGTTATAAGGTTAATATTTGAATAGCAATGACGTTTGGTGTGATTAGCATAATTAAATCGACCTATGTATATAGTCCTAGTATTTTGTAATGGACTATGTGGAATTTTGTGATACATATAACCGTATTTAAACTTGTATGTTAACCTTACATTATAGATCCAAACTGCCAAGCAAAAATTCCCTTTTCCTATTCTTGATACTATTGAAATAAAGTACATTTTTGCTTGGCTGTAGTATTTTTGCACCAATATGTGCCGAATTCTCAAACACTGATTTTGTTTCCTTTGGAAGTCTTTATGGATTAACTGGTCGTTTGAGGGTTCGGCGTTTAGATGATTATTAGAGAAGGTAATATTCTACTGCAAGGTTTCTCAATTTTTATTTATTTTTAACTAGCTTTTACCCGCGGCTTCCCTCGCGTCACAAAAGGATAAAAAGTAGCCTTCGTGACATATACCAATACACACAGCGCCATCTATACCAATAATTTCGTTTTCTCTCTAGAATATCAAATTTTTCTGAGATAAAAAGTACCCCATTATTTAATCCAGACTTCTAACTTTACGTCTGCAAAAAAATCAAAGCAATCGGTTTAGTAGTTACGGCGTGAAAGCGGAACAAACAAACAAACAAACTCACTTTCCCATTTATAATATTAGTAAGGATTTAGTTGAAAAAAAAAACCAACAGCTACACATGGAAAACAAAATAACATTGTGGCAAAATAACATCAGAAAGCCAATTATAGCCATTACCAATTTATGTCGTGACATTTATTTATATCATGATTTATAAAAAAAATATTCATTGGTTAGTGGATGGTAGTGATACTGCCCAGTAAGTGGGGTTTCAAACAGAGAGATCGCCCAGACTTTATTGACATGGCGGCAGTAGTTACGACTTTTATTACAAGGAACTTATAACTTGGACAAAGGAGATGTTACAGCATCACTACACAGTATAAAACAACGTTGCTATCCGCCGCCTGTCTGTCCCATACATAGGGATTAGATCTTTAAAACTGCGCAACACATTTTGATGCGTTTTTTTTTTATAGATAGAGTTATTCTTAAGGAAGGTCTATATGTATAATACATGCATATTGCACCCGTGCGAAGCCGGGGCGGGTCGCTAGTAATTTTATAACGTGTATTTACGTACCTGTCCTTTTAAGACAAATAATTTCTTTTATGTTCTAAATAACTATATAAAAGTAAAATTAATAATGATGTCTGTTACGTTTACTTATGCTTTAACTAGACATCATGCGTCATTGTGTAAAATTAAATATGTCCAATGGGAACCTTGCACTAGAATAATCATGAATGTATTGTAATAATAATAAATATATAAACCAGTTTTGATGACGTAACTTAGTAAATATTATAATAGCATTTGTTAAATCTTCCACTATATGTTCAGATGTGACCCCAGCACATCTAGATACCCACTGTTAACAATCTGTATTGGATTTTCAACCTTATAGTCTTGCAAGAAAGTTGAAAGCCGATAAAGAGTTGTTCATTGTCATTTCTGTTTAACTTGCTGAAAAATCTGTGTACTTCTTAAACTTTTGATTAAAAGGAATGGATATGGGAATAGTGACCATCACAATATACTGTTGTCCTCGGAAAACTTTAACAAATCATAATAATATAAAGAATTATTTCATTTTTTATTGGAATACTGAATTGCTACTCTATTTTCTATTGTATTTAATTTGTCACTCTATCCCTGTCACTTGAAGTCTTAAAATTGAATGGCGTGTAAAACTAGAACGTTAGTATTTAGTTTGGTTGAGACAAGCGATACGGTTAAAGTTTTCAAGAGTTGTTAACTATCGAAGATTATAATATTGAATATTTTTTAACTTTCGTGAAACATAGTAAATTAATTATTATGTTTTCGAGTTATTCAACGTAACTGTTTAACGATGAATTCGACTAGTTTCAAGCCATGCTAGAGGCTCATATTCATAAGCAGTATTCTGCTATACACGACTAGTTAAACCAGTCGAGTTCCTCGTCAAACAGTTACCTGAGCAACAATAATTAAACGAGAACTATGTTAAAATTATCCGAAGAATCACTCGAATATCTGAACCATCACAAAACAATAATGTCACAAAGAACTAGATGCTTAGTTACTTCAAAAAGCAATATATAATTATTAGAAAATGCTAGTTATATAAATTAATTTAAATATTTATTATAAGTCCGAAGTGGAAATGGTGTACAAATAATACTATAAAAAGGGGTATTATTTTTTTAGATTGTTTCATTGGTCAGATCATGCTATTACTACTATACTATTAATCCTGTACGACAATAATGCTTCTATATTATGTTTCAGTGAAGTGCAGATAGCGATAAAATTTGATGATACAATTGAGGTGGTTCTTTTAAATTTTACATAGTTCCCTTAATGGAATATCTCAAGAGTTCTCGGCAGTTATAGTCTAAATTTCAAATTAATTTAGTATGTCTCACGATAGTTATTCGAATAAAGGGTTCATAGTTTCTTTGTTCTTTACCGGTTTCAGTCGCTATTACAGCTGGTTTGCTCAGGATCCTAAAGCTGGAAGAAATAAGTAATACTATATTATTAGGATTATTCATTCTTATTGCTATCTGCACTAAAGGAAGTTATTACGCTGAAATATTACCCAATAACTTAATCAAATTAACTGCAGTTCAGTTTCCTATTGTTGTTACCTTGTAACATATTTTGTACCCTGTAGGCCCTCCTTAAAGGCGAGAATTGTATATTTGGCGCTATTTCGCAAACTGTGATTTTTATATTTAATAAAATGTATTGAATATTTTGTATGGTGGACTCCAAAGAGTGCAATGGTCTGGTTGCTTAAGACTCATTGTCGACGGTTGACGTAATATTAAACCACCCGGATGCGTTTTTATCCTGTCAATAGCTATTTAATTCGATCTCAAGTAGTATTATTTACTTTTATCAAAATTTGTGTACTAAACGAACAAAGTATTACCACTGTAGTTGAATTTGTAACACTGCCATCTGTTGCGTGCATTCAGAACTAATCAGTGAAAATGTATAATAGCGCCATCTCTTGGTGGGTAGGCAAATACTAGCTAGCTATTGACTACGTCCATTGAATTAGTGACGCTTAGTTTTTGTATTTAATTAAGACGTGTGTACAAAATATTGAATACATGTTCACACGTATTTATACGACTGTATACATATTGTACAAAGCTATTTCAATACTATACATTTCTGATTCCAGTTAATATTGTACAACCCTGTCGAAGTATGTAAAATAATGTGTTATTTTAATTATATTTTATGTATATTGATTTTTAATTGTTGTTTTATTCGTAGTTATCTGATATAAACCCATTTTAGTTTTGGAATAACTTTACCTTACTTCCTACATAATTTCGGTAATGAACCGATGTTATAAGATTCCAATTGACAAAAAAATTTAGTATTTCTGTTGATTCATTTCCTTCATTCAAACAATATGTTCTACCTACTATGAATATAGAGGCATAACTTTGAATATTTGAAAGTTCTCCCATACTAATAACAAATCAAAGTCAAATGTTTTATCCTACAGTTAAGAATTAACTGATTATAAAAAATCGGCCCTTAGTAAATGAAGTCCTGGTGCATTTTGGCACTTATTCTGCAACTTATTGGAATGATTTTAGAATTTTGTTTTATGGTTTAATTTATCAATATTTTATCTATAATTTCGGGTCATATCAATATAGTATAGGTATGTGGACGGATGGCAGGTACCTCTGAAGGGCTATAATTTTCTCAATGAATGGTGGTAAATAAAAGAAATAAATACGCACAATGTTATCTATGTATTTAAAATTTAATTTTCGTTACTTATATACAAATTACAACATTCACTATCAATAATAGGTATTAGTTTGTCCTATATTTACATACGTAATACACTTTAGAAGCGTAATTTCATTATTCAAGTCAATAAATTACATCAGGAAACTTTTGGAATAGTGAGTTGTCACGAACAAGAATAACCAACAATTCGTCTTCTAACGGGGATAGAGCCGACGGCGACGCGACACGACATGACTGCCGGCCGCGACTGCGACATGCGGGCACATACGTTATCTAATGACACCGGAATAGAAAAAATGGAATTGTACATTAGAAAAGTAGTTTGATATCAATTAATAATTGTCTTACACGTAGACATCGCCACTCGATCCCCGTTGTACACTCCGCGAGAACTGTACTTACTAATTACTACAAATTGATAAAGATTCCCAAGGAAAGTAACGAGAACAATTAAAATCATCGAAAACTTAAAAAATAACGAAATAAATAGATTTTTTTTTTTAATAATAAAAAGTTATTATTTTATAATTTCTAATATCGAGTTTGTGTTCTTATAACTTTTCGAGGACGAATACTGTTTAATCGGTCAATAAATTCACTTAATTAATTTTTCCAATCAAACGTAATGGGTTACTAAATATACATTGCACAGTGAGTTATACATAAAATACTTGTAACAAATGAACCGATGTATTGCGTACTGCTAGCATTAATTCCTTAATCTTACACATATTAGTTAGGTACAATGTTACAGGGCTTACTATAGATCTTAATTATTTGAAATTCATGTAAATAGACCATTACAATATTTTTACAGAGTCATTCATGAGAGCAAAATAGTAACAAATACCAATGGTCAGAGTGAGAGAACAGTAAGAATATTTCATACATTTAGTGTAACTACTATAGCTATAATAATAATAAGTCATAAGAACACGAATCGACATGAATATTTACGACGCTAACACAGACTTACACTGGCTAAAATGAGAATAATTCCTTGACACTAGATATTTTATATTATAATTATTATTATTCGGAAATATTTATCTTTTATTTTATTGAAATTCTCGAAGCAAAACTCACACTGATTGACACAAAACACTGAACAGTTAACAGCTACAACTGGTTAATGTAACACTGACTAAGTTGTGGGTTACGTGCAACAAGTTGATGCAATTATATTATACTTTGTCCGCAGTAAAATTATCCGAGTTACATTGCGGCCGCCTAAACTTAAATTATGTGAAACCATTTGCATTACTAGTTACTAATAAACATTGAATTATAATTTAAACATGATACAGCACTGCCTACTATCCATGAAGGTAAAATGTTAATGTTATTCTACAATAGCGATATTTGACAAATTACATGCCTTCCATTGTCTGCTATCAGCCAACAAAATAATCTCCTCTAAACATCTCGTTGCTGGGACTATGTATTTTGCCTACTCTCATTTTAACCAGATATGGACGTCATGTCGACTACTACTAGCCTGTCAGCTGGCCACGCTACCAGTAGTCACCGTGATGTTCTGTCTAATAATAAATGAAGCAAATGCACGCCGAATTGTTACTTGCAATCGACCGTTTAACTTTACAGTCGATAGATGGCGTTGTAGTCTACTATATTGAGATCAGATACAATGTGTACTTGCATCGTAAATGCGCACGTAAGCTTGGTGCTCGTGCGTTGCACCGGCGTAATATTAAGCGTCGATTTAAATAACAAATTCGGCGTGCACGGCCCCTACACATAAATTAAATGCATCGTACCTCCGCTTAACTTGTCTAACTACGATATACATACAGTCCGATCGGATTGCACTTATTTGGAACTAGCGCCGCACCCCGGCGCGTGTTGTTACATATCACAACTAAACAATAAAGTATTATGCACTACGCACGTACTCTGTAACTGTACCCATTGACGCACCATCTTATAATATACGGATATGGTCGGTTGAGCATCCACAATTTACTGTACTCATATACAAACATCTAGATAATGAGTTTCGACTGTAGATATGTACTTATTCGTATACCCACGACGTGGAAGGAGAAGTAAACGTTATTACGTAAATAAATGAGTGGATGAGCAGGCGTGTGTAATCGATTGTGATCAGATGTCAGAGAGATGTGCGTTGGCTGGCTGTATGAGCGAGCAGCCCGCGCCCTGCGCCCTGCGCCCGACTTTAACGGGTTTAAATGGTTGTCATGGTAGCCGCCAGAGGTCCTATAGCTAGCTACATGTGTAGCTCTTAATTTGATGAAGCACTCACCGTGCAGACATGTGGGTGTTACGGGGGAAACTCGCACTGGACAACGCACACGGATTAAAATGGCGGGTTTAATTTTAACATTTTCAGAGATCATTTGTGAGTATTCAATATTAAATTATACAGTTTTAAAGTTACGATACATGGTCATATTCGTGTAAATTGTAGATGCTCCTAAGAGGTGGGTTTGCAATTCCGTTCCAGTGAACACACATAGATATTGTGAACTTATCTGCATTTGACAAAATAATAAACAGGTGTACTTGTAATAGATGGCAATTAGGTGTACGCGACTAATTGAAGGCAATACCTACATCAGTTCCGACTGTTGTTGCACACCATGTATTTACCCCAGATAAAGGTAATTCTAATTCAGTTAACTTGCTACGTAATTTATACGTGCCATTTTTTTACGTTCAGGACGTCCAGGGAGTCCATTAATAGTGATGCACGTTTAAAGGAAGTAGGATTTAATTTTTCAGCTGTAATTGCCTTCGCTCGAGCACTGAGCACGGAGCCCGGCCCTGCCGCGGACACCCAAATGACATCAACGTCACCGCCACGTCACTGAGCCAATTTATGCAGACGTACCCACTCCAATTACGAATACATCTCTACACGTATAAATTAAATATGTACTTCGAATTTAAATTTATATTATAAATTCACAAAATGCCTCAGAAAAGTCGACGGTTTATCATAATAATACTAAAAATTAAAGCTTTATACATGATCGGAACGAGCTAACCGTTCCATTGGCATCATAAGAAGTTTTACTATACAGATCAGTTCACAGGCTATGTTGCCGCGACATTATGCTCGACAGATCGTCCACTTGTGTGTACATCGCCGGCTTTATGTACTTGTATGATAACTATTAAGTAATTAAAGTGTCAATGTACAGAGAAGCGGGCGATCTGTCGCGAAATATCGCGGTCGAAAGAAACAGTCCACGGTACGGGACTACCGCAGCGAGCGACGACACGGGGGTTTCACAACATCGGACGGATCAATTCGTTCACCATTCGGGCTCTGGGGGTCTCATATTAAATTGCACCTTAAATCACTTACATAAAGTTCTCTACCGTCTGGCTGTGGCCACGTGGCTGTGGGAGAATTTATATCTAAACTGTAACGCTAGATGATCTAAAAGAAAGAAAAACTTAATGGCGACATTGTCTGTTAAAGACTTTCTTATTCTGAATGCAATCATGTTTTCGCTGTACAGATGAGATGTCACTTGAAAAGAAGCTTTAGTGTTATGCATTAAGCATTAATGTCCAGCAACAACATGGGTAATTTTTAATAACTATTTTAGGATGAAAATTTATTTACAGAATTCGTCATTGCTATACTGTCTGCATACCGAGTAAAGAAACATAAAAGATGCATTACCAACAGTACTTATCATCTGTTAAAATATTTAAAATGAATAAAGTTCTTTGTCTGTGTAAAAAACATGTGAAATTGTATTTGTTACGGTTTGTCATGGATTTTGTTTCGGTTATAAGAAACATTTATCGATGTAAAAAATAATTCGAACGTACAGTCCATCGTTTCTCAATGTCAACAGTTAGCCATGAAAATGAATCTTCTTGTCTAGGTAATAGAAGCTATGGAAAATTCACCAGGGTCATACTATCGTCTCAAATCGATAGAGTAGATGTAAAAATAATATTTTTTCTTAGAACGTAGCCTACGTAGTAACTTGATGTTTTGTTAAATCAATTTCACAGTAGAGGCGTGAACACGATGTTATATTATAAAACTTATAATTTCCAACATATATTACAAAAAAAGCATGATTTATACTAAAGTTAGATGTCAATGTTGTTAACGCCAAATTAAATTGTCACGAATAAGTTATTGATTTACGAAAAACATTCTTCGGTCTTACAAAATTAAGACAATTATTGTATAACATAGTTACCCATTGATGAACGATCGACTGTAGTACAGTTCGCACCTTTTACATGACAATTTTCACTCGAACCACTTTAAAAAACAAACAAAATTTTCGTATATCTTTGATTAAAAATAGTAACATCATAATTATGAATTCCTTAATATAACATAGTACAATAATATTTGTGTTATCTGACAGTAAAAATCAGACTTAAATTATCTCTCACATGAGAAAACAGATTTTTTAAGTAGATAGCATTTATGTGGCAAAAGAAAACTTTTCCCTTTGCCAGACATTGCCAATAAAATTAAACATTTTGTAATTAAACAGTAGAAACATATTTAATGGTGTCTTTACAATGCAAGCTTGATGATACCGTGAGCATAAAATATGTAACTGCACTGATTTTAAAAGACGTTTTCATTAATGAAATTACGCAATTAATTGTGTTTCCATACAATATTAATATTAACAGAAAAACTCTCTTGAATTTCACTCATAGCATATATTCACATTTATGCTGATGGCATATCAAACTTGCACTCAAAGATAGAGAGAATTGCACTCAACAATGTAAAGATCCAATCAGTATATAAAGTGAATTTTACATAGATACATATATACCCACTATATGCATTAGTCCGTCAAACATCCGTAGTCATATATAATACAACTAAACGTGTTTTTACTTTAGCGGTGATTTAGGTCGTCAAACTTTAGAACTAAGTGTCTTTAGGTGCTTCCCCCCTGGCCACTATTCCTCAAAAGTCCTCAAAGTCCTCCACTCCCCCACTCCCCCTCCCCGTGCGTGCTCAGCGCGGGTGCGCGGGTCCAGGTGGCCCGCGCGGGTACCTCGGTCAGTCACCAGTCGCCGTCACCGTCGGCGTAGTCCAAGGGCCGTTCCAGGGGCTGTAGCCCTTTTGGCTGTGAACAAGAGAAAAAATTCGTTAGTTACGATGGTTTTTGGCACTTAAACGGATGAAGAATGTGTTCGCGATCGGTTTATTCTTCTTGGGCATGTATCAGCCCACTTGGAAGTCATTAGGAGACCTGACCTGTCTTTGACGGGGGATATTTTGTAGCAGAGATAAAGATAAATTATGATTTGAACCATTAGGATATTACATCAAAAGATGAATCCTAATTAGGGGATGATAGAAATATACCTATTAAAGAAAAACGATTTATTCACTCGGTTTCACGTCATCATAGAGCCAGCGCTTCATACATTTCTCCAATATCGATAAAATTATCGCAATAGGAACCATCAGCTCTTAGCACTACCTCCTTCCCGCACGGCTGCACGTGCGAAATCTTCAATTCCACGTGTTTTTGCTGCGTTTAACAACCTCATGAAGGTCTACCTGGATGGTGACTTGTTTAATGATAAGTATAAGGCTCCAATGTCTGTTTGCCTGGTGTATTGTGAGCAGAACCACATATAAAAATGTTGTTTTATCTTTGTTTCTAGATTATTGTGTATAGGTATTATAACTGTTATTTTACACACATAACATCACGTCTTTTATACCCGTGCGGAGAACCTAACGGGTAACCGGGGCTCCGGCTCGACGTGCAGGAGAAGGAACGGGGTGGTTTTTAGTCAGTAAGAGTCTGACACTCCCTCCCGCCTCACCCAGGCGGGGGCAGTCATTCGATGATTTTCCCCCCTTAAAAAAAAAAAAAAAAGGTGTAGGCTGAGGTGTTCATTATGCCACTGTTATTTCATTTTAATTTTAAGTTGTTTGGTTTAATGTGTATTTTAGTTTTCTTTTTTTATAATATTAGTGATTTAATTTGATGAATATAACTAAACACCAACTGGTGTATACCATGTTAATTAATAAACAATATAAATATAAATAAAAAGTAAAATATAATATGAAATAGAAAAACGGCCTTAAAACGTGTTACTTTTACTTAACGTGTTGTTGTTGACAGACCATTAAAACCATTTCACAAATCTATATTCATACGTTACTGAGCCAAAGTTGAATATTTTTAGTAACTTTCAGCGTTCACAATGTAACCTAAGTATATACTAAGTACCTAGGTAAAGCAATGTGTAAGTGACACGTGTCAGTATGATATTTGCGAATATTTAGTACCTCCCTGAAGGATATCGTAAATATACTTGGTAATACATTTTATTAGCACGGTACAGAGTGAGTGTTCTGACATCACTTTGGATACTTTTATTGTTGCTGTCTACAATAAAATGCTAACAGCTTGTCTCTAATTTAAATGTATTTAGTTTTCAGGGAGGTTTAGCACATACAAGAGAAAGAAATTGGATGAAATCAAGAATCGGAAGAAGACTGCCTCATTGGCCGGTTCGATTCCCGGGTCGGGCAGAACGGAGTCTGGAATTGAGATCGGTATATGGCAATAAGCTCAACCCCTATAACATGGAAATCAACGACCTAACATAAATAGTGAAAAGTGGGTGTTACATTGTACAGCGGCATTAAGTGCCGTAATGTGCATTCTGCGTACCCTTTCAGGGATAAAAAGGCGTGATGTTATGTTATGTTATGTAAAATCAGAAGTCAAACTTTAACTTAACGTTATTTTTAAGTTTTTGACTACAAATAATATACTGACTATTATTTATTTTTTTAAACAGTACCCCTCAATAACCCGATCATTAAACAGGGATCATATATCCGACTTTACAAGTCAAGCATGGTGGCAAGTCACCACAAAAACTGCAGGCGCAATAGACATATAAGAAACATTTTTAATATGAATTTAAATCAAGCAAAAAGTATGAACAGATCACTTGATATTATGCTTGAAGACTCTTGATAAGTAGAAGTAGGTGATCGTCATGGTTTTATGACTTTGAAATTATTTCTCTAAACTCTAATGCGTTCTCAATAAGAGTCATTTTTGCATTTAAAACTCTCATTTGTTGATGAGTGTGTAATGATTAATTTTTGCTACCATAGCGCCTCCTTGGCGGTGCGTTGTTTTTACTCAATTACTTCATAGTAATAAGGAATTCATTTCTATTTATATTATGCTTTTCTCGAGAAGAACCGCGACGCCATTCAGAAGCATCGCGTATTGTGATTCAAAACTATAGGTTCGTTTCAAATAAGGTCTTGGATATCCAAAGTCTGTGTTAGGCCAGGGCTGAAAGTTTCGATAATGATTAAAGGATGCTAGAAATCGGTCGCTAAGTCAAAAACCTGAAATGGCAATTAGGGTTGCCGACCCTGGACAAACGTAGCTAACGTTAGGCTAGTTCGACGTTCCTAGTCCTCGGTTCGAAGATTTCGTTTTAAACTCTTGATCCCTTTTTAAAGCCGAATAAACTAACTGAGCTCCTAAACAATTAGACAAGTAAGTCAGAACTTAGGTACATTTCAGGCTTTTAAACTACCGTAAGCATGGGCCTACACACGGCGGGCATAGGTAACTCACCGTCCGACCAGAACCAGACCGGAGCGTACGGCGTGTACCACCACAGATGGGGCCCAATAGGGCTGATGCCGATACAGAGCCGCGAAGGACTTAACGGGTTACCGGGGCCCCGGCTCGCCAATCACTCCCAATTACCGTTATTCATATACGCTAGTACATAACAGAGGTGGGTACATAATTATGTATATTTACATATTACAATCAATAAGCCATTACCAACATATTTGCTTGTCATCTTGAACAAGATTTCTCGTTTTGAGCGATGCAGAATGTTCAATGCATAATGTGAAATGAGATGTGGTTGCTGTGACAGCGATAAAGTTAATTAGTTTCTATTAATGTTTTTAATACTTCTCCGTGTGAGAAGATGTTTTTTCTCAGCAGTGGGATATTGTTATTTAATAACACTTTAAATAAGTAAATCATATAAATTATGACAGTTTACGTGTAGTTAGGAAAACTTAAGAGAAAGTTTAGTTTCTCTCAATAAAACAAATAAAACAATTATCTATCTAGCACAAATTAACCCGTTTCAACATCGGGTATATTAATACTTTATTTATTTTGTACCTTATTGCCCTCCCATTTGGGCCTAAGTCCAAAAGTATTAGCTTACGACCGATGTTTTTACTTTAGAACGCTGTACTTGACAACCTTATTACGTTCGTACGTAAGCAATAGCTTGAATCAAAATTTTAGAACTTAGCATAAGATAAGCATAAGTCATTTTTTGGCCTATCTACAAACTGTATTAACAAGGAGTTTGGTATAATAAGTTTCTCTTCTTATACAATTAAGAGTAATGAGTCAAGGACGTTGAAAACCAGGCGGACATAATGTCACTTACAAAATTAAATGAATGAAGCACAAAAATGTCAGTGGCTTTTTATTTATATGTGTGTGTGTGTAATAAGTAAAGAGTTCAGTTTACTGCTCCAAAGCTTCTAGTTAATCAGTTATTACTTGGAAACTTTAATATAGGTAATAATTTTACTTATTTTATTTAATTTGTTGCTCAGCTTTAAAATGATTAATCGATGAAAGTACCTTTCTAATCTCGCTAATACATGGAACGTTAACAATTTCAATTAATTTTAATAATATAGGTATTTATGTTTAATTAAAATTTATGATTTTATGTCTGTTCTTATAGGGTGTCTGTAATTAAATAACTGCATTTACTCATATTGCGGGATTTGATAATAAATGATGGTTATGTATTATTTCATTTAATTAACAATATATAGACTTTATTAGAAAGTATTATTCAACTTTGACATTAATGTTTCATTATTACATTCCTCAATTTATTACTCATTGTCCCTAAACATTCCAAAACCGCATCTCCTCAAAATTCACGCTCTCACTGCGACCCCACCCCAAGCATAATGACTGAATTTAAAAGCCTGAACAAAACGTTGCGTGCCAATAACATATACGGTAAATAATTCATAACTTCCAGTAAAGTGGGTCAAGTTCGTGCGTACGCGCATATCTTCACGCCGTCTGCGAGCGATGAAAAACAGTGGTTCCAGGAAATGTGACTGATTGATGGTTCATTATCATAAATGATGAAGATTATGAGTTGTTTGGAGAAAACAAGACTGTCAATGAAAAGATTGATGTAAATCAATTTTAAAGTAGTAGAGTTCCACCAGACAGGGTGCAATGGAAGGAGTTGGAGGAGGCCTATGCCAAGAGGCACACCGAGCTTAGGGATATCATTTAATAAAGTAAACTTTTAATCAAATATGTGAGACTGTGTAATGATATTAGTAACTGTAATAACTGGAATATCGGCTATTATTATTATTAAATCGATTTTGCTGGTGTGGTTTGCCATGCAGTGGGACGACTACAGCTAAAATGAAAATGAATGAATGATTTGATTAGAGAAGCCGTAATCACAATGGGGTATAAGATGGCATTTTGGTTGAAAAGTTGGCCAACTTTTGAACTTTTGGCCACCTTGATTAGTGTATTTGATAGTTTACTTATTTATTGACTGCACGGTTGGCGCTGTAGTTGGGCAACTGGCTGCCGCGCAACGTGTCGCGGGTTTGATTCCCGCACAAAACGACTCTTTGTGCGATCCATAGATTGTTGTTCCGGGTCTAGGTGTCATGGGTGAACTTGTATGTTTGTAAACGTACACACAGGCATAGAAAAAATTCTAGGGCAACGTATTTTTTTTTCGTGAGTTTCACCATTTCCCGTCGCCAACTATTAAAACACAAATTAGCCGCCGGTACCTACTTACTTATTTAGACTTAGCCACGAGTTACAGAGCTTAAAACTTATTTCCTAAAAGCCTTTAAATGTAACTCATTTATCAAACTTCAAGTGCGGGAGAGCCATGCCTCGGCACGAATGCGCCGGCTCGACCGGAGTGATACCACGGCCTCACAGAAGACCGGCGTGAAACTAAGCTTGCGTTGTGTTCCCCAACAATACTCAAATTCCTAATCCCAGAAGGCCGGTAACGCACTTGTAAC